CTACTGCATGACTGTTGTCAACCATGACACTGAATGACCGAGGTTCTCCACCAATGACTTGGAAACTCTAGTTCGACTCTGCTTTTCATTTCGTCCTCTTCACAGTGCTTGTTTTCCCTTGTATGATTTTCCCGTTTACACCCACAACGCCGTATGTGCCGTTAGAGTCTCCACCGTCGATGACGACTACGGGTGCTCTAAATCAGCATGAACCTACTGTGCAGCATCCCGGGGAGCATTCTTCATTGCGGTCACTGAAAGATGAAGAAACGCCATGGGAGGAGTGGAAGCACTCGATCATGTGCATATCTTTCTACACTGGAGCAGGGCTATTATACTGCTTCTGTTGGGCTGGATGGGGTCTGGTGGATTCAACGTAGTCCTGGAGAATTGCCATAGTTCAACTCTGATAGCTTTCTCGATCAATGTATACATTTACGAGAGCCGTGAGCTTTGACATAGAGAAATAATTCCTCTTGTGATATGCCATCATCACGGTGTTTTTGTTATTATCTGTTGAGCAGCATCCATCCGTCTGCTCAGCTTTGGTGATTTTAGATACTTCCTGATCGTCACGGGTTCCACCGTGGGCTACGGTGACATCAGCTTCCCTCTGGACACAACGAGCTCTCTCTTTGCCTGCTGCTACCTTGTACTGGGAGTGGGCATCGCTGCCTATTCTGCAGGACTGGTGACCATCTTGGATTGGTGATATTGAGAGCAGATATGTTGACATATGCAGGTACTCAACAAGTGGGTTCAAACTACTGAGACAGAGATGGCCAAGGAGGTCCAACAGTCCCATATGAAGAGGAGCGAGCAGTCTCTGATGCGGAATAGGCTACTTCGGAAGCATCTTCTCACTTCACTTGCACGTCTTGCTGTTGTAATAGAATCATCGACTTGTAGTTTTATTGCACTGGCTCGCTGTAGACCCTGTGTGTCGGTGCCGGAGTGATCGGCCTCCTCGAGGGTTGGGGTGGCCCTAAGGCTCTCTACTGGTGTGTTCAAACCGTGACCACTGTTGGGTATGGCAACCTGCAACTCACGTCTACCGCGTCCAAGGTCTTTACGATATTCTTCATTCCAATTGGTGTGGCCGTGGGAGCTAGCACCATGTCGAGCCTGGCGAGCATTCCTCTTATCAAGCAGCGGGCTAAGCAGAGAGGAGGGTCCGTGGCT